AATAGAACTTCTGTGAGGAGATACCTCACATCCATCTCCAAAACTTCCTATTCTCTTTTGACCCAAAATTGACTTGAGTTTTTCTTTGTAGATACTGAATTTTTCCTGGATCCACTATTGAAGTTCACTACCATTCCCCATTGGCTACAACGGTAGAACACATTGTAAACCATTTTCCTTTTTCCTTTTAGAATCTCAGTATAAGATGGCTGAGTCTTTAAAAATCGTCTTTTTTGACCTGAAAGAGATTACCAACCGTCCTTTTCCTCCAGTTGGTGGCCAAACAACAGATTCAATCTGAATCCCTAAGTTGAATTTGAATTTTTGAACTCCACACGTGCCAAACTCATCTCTTTCTTGCTTGAGGACAGAATCTTGCAACGGTAATATTTTTTTTTTTTGAGTAAGAAGCAATTTCATTGATGAGTGAAATTACAAAAGGGATGGTAAAGCAACCGCAAACCAAAGGAGTTACAGAAACTTCTCCAATTGGTCAAAAGGGGAATCTTGCAACGGTAATTGAATCCACCAGATGATTCTCGAACCATACTAAGTGGGCAAATATCAAAGGCAGCAAATCATTGCAACTCATATCTTCAACAAATTAGCAATGCTCTTCAAACTGCATGCAAAAATGCTTGTTCTCAATTCAGCAACTATTGATTTCCATACTATGAATAATATGACAAAACTGAAATTTGGACTTCACTAAATCTTGAACACTTTGAATCTATAATATGAAAACTTTTAGTGAAAGACTACAGTTTTTTTTTTATAAGAAACAAAGGATATGTATAGGAAAGACTACGGTTCTAATGTTACTTCAAGACCCTTTTTTATAGGAAACAGAGAATTATGTTGACAAGACAACTAACACAAACAAAAACAAAATAAAATAAAATAAATGGGAGATGAGATATCCCCACAAGACCAATGGGTTACAAAAATGGTTCCCATCTTTGGAAGAGAAGAAGATTCTTCAGTTCCTTTCAAACCAAAACTCTCTGACATAATGACTGTTGTAATAACCATTTGCTAGAAAAACATTCTAGCAAGTGCTTATTACAATTAGTTGCTTTCTTTCACTCCCTCTGGAAGTTTGTATCTCTTTAACTTTGTATTTTCTTTATATTACTTCAATGAGAAGTACTTATCTTGTCAAAAAAACTGTTAGCTAGAAATATTTCTTAACACAAACAATTTACTACGACTTCTAGCCCCTCCTCTGTGAATTCTATACCAGCCACTAAACTCCTCAAGGGATTAACTTTTGGACCAGAATTTTTTTTCCCTTTTTTTGGGATAAGAAACAGATGAGATGAGTATTACTCGGAAAAAGAACAGCCTAAGGACCAGAAAATTTTTGGAGAAAATTAAAATTTTCAATTTTATTTTTTCATAATAAACAGCAAACTTCATAAAAGAGAGTAAAGTTACAAAAGAGGACAAGAAGTCGGGTTACAAAGAAGTCCTCCAATATTCTGAAATACAAAATTTCAACAAATTTTGAACTTTGGACAAATCCCCAGAGCAAAGCAACAAAATGTCATTACCAAATTGGTGTATGAAGAGCACTTCTTCTCTGCCCACTTTAAGGAGCTTTACGGCGGTGAAATTGTTTTTTTTTTTTTGTTTGATAAAAAACAATACTTTCATTGAGAGAAATGAAAAAACGATACAAAAAACGGAGGGCGAACAAAAACAGCCCCGTAAAAGGGAAACCCTAAAGAAACGGGCTCCAATCCAAAAGAATGAAACCTAACTGATAATTACAAAAGACCTTAGAGACCGAACCCCATAAATAAGTGTTAAATCTAATGAGGTCCCAAACGAACCCCACAGAATCCTCCACCCCCTAAAAACCCCATTGTTCCTCTCTAGCCAAATACCCCATACAGAAGCTAGAAAACACGCTTGCCAGAGGAAGCGCCCTATGTCACGAAAGGGGGGGAATAAAAACACTTCCTCCATCATCGCCCTACAATCTCTGGGACAGACCCAAACAATCTCAAAACATCTAAAGAAGCAAAGCCATAAATCCTGCGCAAACTGGCAGGTCCACAATAAATGCTCAAGATCTTCCGAGGCATTCCTACACAGAGCGCACCACTGCGGGCCCAAGTAGAAGGAAGACCTCTTCTGAATACGATCCATTGTGTTGACTCTACCAAGTAAGATTTGCCACTCAAAGAACTTGATCTTCTTTGGAATTTTAGTCTTCCAAAGAGAAGCGAACCAAGGGGTCACCGGGGACGAAGAAGAAAAAGAAGACGAAGGAGAAGAAGACAACGACGATGGGGAGTTTAGGACATGGAAAAAGGAGCTGCAAGAAAAGCCTTTCGAGCGATTGGGAGCCCACACCCTCACATCCACTCTCCCAATGGAAAGGGAAACACTAGACAGCAAATCAAGAAGCGCAAAAATCTCTAACGATTCCCGATCAGTCAAGGAACTGGTAAGCCTCGTCATCCTCATGCATGCTTTTTCACCTCAAGTAACGTTAAGAAGGTGTTAATTGGTGGTGAAATTGTTAATTTCTCTTCTCCGCTGTAGCTGCATGCTTCGAACGTTACTTGATAAATTAACAATTTCACCGCCATAAATTATGAAGATGAGGAATCTTCAAGCCATAAGCTTTTAGTAGCTCTCAGCCTCTCATGCATGCTTTTTCACCTCAAGTGCTTCTTTCACATCCAAGTGGGGGTGGAAGAAGAATGAAGAAACAAAAACATATGAATGAGACATAAAATAGAAAGACATAATAGGATTTTTAAATTAGTTATTTAGATTTCTTGATATGGTTGACCTAAATCTTACAATGATAATGTAAACTTAGACAAAACTAACCACATGAATTTGGATGTCCGACAATCTCTGATCTTAGGATAAATATAGAATACGAAAACATAAATCTCTTCATGGAAGTGGAGGGAATTAGTCCCAAATCTTGTGTAGACTCATGGGAGTGGCCCCTTGATCCAGAAGGTCAGTTCTCAACTAAATATTTTCCCCTTTTTCTTGTCTACAAAAGTCATCCATCCACCAAAACCTCACTCAGATGATCTGGAAAGGAAAATGCCCAAGGAAAGCCAACACCTTCTTTTGGGAAGTGATAATGGGCAAAATTAGCACCATGGACTACTTGCAGAGAAAGTTCCCTACTTTTGTTCTTACCCCCTCTTTGCAAGTTGAATAACAAATCTCAAGATCACATTTCTGTGGACTGCTCCCTTTGCCTTTGTATTTGGGATGCCCTCCTTCAAGCTTTTGGCTGGACCACCCCATTACAAAAGCATTGCTGTCAACCTCAACTCTATGCTGGTAGCTCACCCATAGAAGAAGCAAGCAAAAATCTCTCTGGATGAACTTCATCAGAAGTTTCCTTTGGAACTTATAGCTAGAGAGGAATAAAATAACCTTCAATGGGAAGGAAAGAAACTAATCTTGTTTACAAGATTTTATTTTGTACACAGCAGCCTCTTGGTGCAAATTGGAGAATTCTTTTTGTAACTATTCTCTTAGCCACATATGTGCTAATTGGGTGTGATTACTTTAATGAAATAGTTTCTCTGTTTCCTTTCAAAAAAAAATGAAAAAAGAATAAGAAAACATAAAGGCAATTACTATAAGGGTTAACCAATCAAAAAATAAATGAGCTACAACAATTTACAAAATATGTTGAAGAGACAAAATAGTTGGAGTTTGGTGTTATACGTCAAAACATTACTGTTGAAGGTTAGTAATTTCCTAAGCTTGAAATAAACAAACGTGTCTAACCTGATCTGTGGCAGCGTCCTCCCAGTTCCCAATTTTATCATCATCGCTGCCTTCTCCTTGTTTATAATCTTTGTCATCATTTTCTATAGCTTCATTTCGTTCCCAATTGGCCTCCTCCTCTTCAGATTTGCTTTCCCCAACATTAGTTGTTTCTGCCGATTCAATTTTTTTAGTCCCATCTTTTTCTCTTTCCAAACGTTTCTTCTCTTCTTTTTCTTTCCGTAACCGCTCCTCCTCTTCTACCTTCTCTATTTGTTCTTTGCGCTCTATACAGGTTCAATTAAATTACCATAAGATATAAAAAGAATAAAGGATCACTAAAGAAACAGAAAGAATCATTTAAAAAGTATAATTAGGATTAGCCATTTACATGAATCTCCCAAGATGGCAAATTCTTAGAGCTTAGTAAATTAAGACTTATCATTTCTTTGCCATATCCTTTACACTGATCTCAACAATTTTCACTGACGTTATAAGGAAAACATGAACACAAAGAAAAGACTTGGTCCAAAATGAGCTATTAATATCCATCTATTAAATGAAAACAAAAAAAATCTGTGGACTCGTTCTAAAATACCAATGAGCTACCTCATTTATTTTCTAGAGAATTTGAGATATTCTGACAAAAACCAAATAGCTAAAATAGATTGAACGAAAAAAATATAAAAGTACTACCATGACTCCCAAGTAATTTGAGGTACTTGGACCCTCCCTCTCTTGAGTATTCTTACTCAAGCCTAAACCAACCACACTAAATCAATGCCTACCTCAATCCTTCTCGCTCACTCTATTTATAACAAAATCCCCTAACAACTTCTCTAGCTAATTACTAATATATGCACCCTAATAATATCCTCAATTCTATCCTGATAGCAGTCCTATCATATTCCCATTACTCATCCATGTGAGATATAACATATATGATATATCTAACCCCAATAACTAAACCAAACTTCCAATAGGCAATGCGATGTAAATTTAAAACATAAAGAGTTTTCCCACGATAAAACAATGATGAAAACAAATTGTACTGGAAAACAAGATCATGAAAGTATGCAAGACTATACAAGATTTTACCATTAAGTTGTTCAACAAGCCCTTTTAGTATTTTTTCCTCATTTTTCAATTTCAATAGCTCTGCCTCATCCTTGGTTATTGCAACTTTTGCATGTTCAACTTCCTGTTTTCGAATTTTGACGCCTTCTTCAAATGTTGCAATCTTTTTCTTCAATTTATCTCTTGCGACTTTCCCAGCTTCCCAGCACGTATTTGGGCATTTGACTTTGCCATCATATTCGTCGCTTCCATCACAACAATCTGCAAGTAATTGACAGATAAAAACAAAACATACATGGGAATTAGGGTCAAATAAAATCACAATAATATAAAAAGAGGAGAAAACCATAGATCTTGTAAAATCATAAACTGATAGGAGGCTGAAATACATCATAATAAAATAAAGCTTAAATATCATCTTCTAATTCCTTGACCTTCTATGTTCACGACTTCTGTGTGGGTGGATGGGTGCCAATGAAATGAGTTTCTGACTCGAAAATTAAATAAATAGATACTACCAACAACACACACTCGCCCATTTACCGTGTTCAAAATTGGAACCGATGCTTCACCCTATAATATATGGTATTAAAAGAACTCAAAGGATAATAGCATCTTAAAACTGTAGACCCCAAGGAGTTTACAGAAAATTTGCGGTCCAGGATTTCGTGTCCTCAAGTAGTGTCATAAGAAAGGAATTTGTGGCTGAATAAGCCTGAAAAATCACACACTGAGGGCCACCTAGTTCTTTAGAATCCAGGAAAATGTCTGCTAGTTTATCCAATAGACAGATCCGCTCTTCAACCTCTAACTCATTTAGGTTTCTTCTAAGAGTTCAAATTTTATCCATATATGCAGAACCTCTCCTTCCAGGGTGTGCGTGCCTGCGCCTATAGGATGAAGATTGTAATTGACGCTAGAAGTGTAGAAGGATTAAAGGAAACAAAATGGAAAGATGGAGTCGGTACTTCTCCATCGAGAAAAAAACTTACCACATAACCCGTCGTTCACCCTTGAAGAAAACAACAAAAGTGGAACATGCCCTGCATTTCGACAATAGAACTTTCCACCTGGGCACGCGGATGTGCCTACAACCATGAAATTATGTCATCATTACACACAAAACTTTGAAACAATTTCAGGCCATTTTTTAAAATTGAAAACCATACTTGGACAATACAAGAAACCAGACCACATCGGACGAAGCCAATTTAACCAAACAATAGGAAGCCAGATTTTGATCGCTGGCTAAAAAAACAAAACGAAACCCCATTGGCCCATTGCAAATCCGAATCATATTTTTGGCTTCTTCGCCGACACTTGTACGTGGATTTTAGATGAAGAAGGAAATGAAAATCCGTGAACGTGCATGCGAGCAATAACAATAACAACTGCCTCCCTACTTGCTAAATAAGATATTATTGAGTTGTAACAAATTGGGAAGCAAATAATAGCAGTTTCTGTAACGACCCAAAAACCAACTCAGACGCTAGTAAAAACTAAAGACGTGTAAGATTGAGGCGTATTAAGGCCATATGAATCGAAAAGAAGAAATGCAGTGAGAGAAGAAAGCAGAATCGATACCAGGTTCGTCAGTGCCATCAGGGCAATCACAGTAGTCATCGTTGAGCTGAGCCTTGGAAAATTTGTTGGAACCGTCTCTACATTTGATCATGTCCGACGACTTGTAATACATCTCATCTACATTTTTGTTATCGAATTCGGAACGAATTCTCAGTGTCCAAAAATATTTCGAGAAATAAAAATAAACGAGTGAGGAATTGTAGATTTGAGTAGATTGGGGAATAACGGAAGGCAAAGTACCTTGGGGAGAAATTCCACGAAATTGGTGCTTTGGAGATGAGACTGATCCAACAATTGGAGCTAAAGCTAGAACCGTGCACAATATCCATAAGGTTGCAAGAGATTCTGAATTTAGGCCTCCCATTCGCTTCATCGTCTTGAACCTCACAATCAGAAAAGAGAGCAACTGTCTCCTCTAGTTTTTCCGGTGTTCTTCCCCCTTTCAACTGTCTGTGGCAATATCTCGCACACTGGGCAACACGAGAGAGAACGGAGCGATCCCGTCAGATTGCCTGCAACTGCAACTGCAACTCCCAGTAGGAGGAGGAGAAATGCGGCAAAATGCCCAAACTTCGTTTATATCATATTTTTAGTAAACGCGGACCCGAAATTCATATCATATTTTAGTAAAAATAATAATAATAACCCGCCGCATATAACAGGTCTCGCGAGTTTCGATCTTCCACGCTACATATTATACTAATAATAACCAGTTTTTTTGGTTAACTCCGTTCATAATTGACCTCAATTATATTTTTCAAAATTAGAGTTAAAACTCCCATATTCATTAATCTGAACTTAGTTGAACTACATTTATCCTTGGTTTAAGTTTAAATCTTCACTCATACATTATATTAAAGAAAAAAAGATACTTACAATTATATTAAAAATATTAAATGAAATAATAAATTTAGCATCTCAAACAAAAAAAATATGCCCAAGGTGAGTAAATCTCAAATTTTCCGTTAATTAATCCAAAAACACGAAGACCCAGTAGCCTAATACTATGAGATGTTAGATTCAATTTCTCTTAGATTTTCGCTGATATATATCTCTAGTTTACCACTTATATACTACTGACATATTATGATACCTATTGATATAAATAACTTTTTATATATATGATTACATGTTTTACCATTTTACTGATATATACTTAATTTACATTTGATATATCATTAATGATATACAAATGTTTTACGTTCAATATAACTATGATATATACTTATATAACTTATGATATGATTACACAATTGATTATTGATTTACTACTAATACATATTTGATTTACCATTGATATACCTCTAATACAATAAAGGTTCGAAATGTCGATGTCGATGAAAATGTTGAGGTCCCGATTTTACCGACATGTCGGTGTCAATGGATATTCCGAAAAAAATCACGAAAATAATAGATATTGATGACAAATTTGTTAAGTAAATAAACGTTTAATTTAGTTTAATTCGCCTCAAACTAATCCATTTTTAACCATTTTATCTAAATATATAAGTAATATAATAAAACTAAGATATACAGAATATAGATATATAAGGTGGAAATAATTTTTAAAAAATTATATTCAGTTTAAAATTTAAATGTTTAATAATAATCCATTAAATTGATTTTATTTTATTGGTTTGTTTTAGGATTTGATTAGTTAAATTTAATTTAAAATTTGTTTTTCTTTTAGATCAATTACTTTAATTTTTTTTGTTAGAGTTTTTTAGTCAAATTTAATTTAAATTATGTTTTTTCTAAATATTGTTTATAATATTTTGTCTAATTAAATTTAATTTAACACTTGTTTTATTTTCTTGTTTCTTAACCAAAAGATAAGAATTTAACTTTTCCAAAATTTAAATGCTTAATAATAATTAGTTAAATTGATTTTCTTTCTTTTAAGATTTAATTTAAAATTTATTTTTCTTTAAATAAATTATTTAAGTTTTGGTTAGATTTTTTTAGTTCTATTTAATTTAAATTAAGTTTTTTATAAATGGATGGTTTATAATCTATTCCTTTTAAGAATGTACAAAGGAGACTAAAAATTCATAACTAAGAAATTCTATTTCTTTTGCCAGACATTATTGGAGCCCCCACTT